GGAGACGGCGAACACACGTTTCGCGTTGCATCGACTGCGAAAGGATCCAGTTGGTCGGAAACTGCCAGACAGGAGTGACGAAGAGACCCGACAACCTGACGACGCCGGGCTGAGCCAAGTCGAAAGGGAAAGCGGGTTCTGTCTGAATGAGCAGTTGTCGACGAGTGAGTGTCAACGGGGAAAGTCTGTCGAGAAGCAGAATCCACCTCGAGAGGGCCGGCTGACTGAGAACATGACGAAGAAGAAGATGTTGGTGCTGGCGTGGATGGAGACTGGAGGAATCGGAGACGTCTGTTCTTCCAAGTAGCAGAGCTTAATCGTGTGTTGGTTAAAGGGTCAACTGACCTTGCGCGGAACTTGAAGCTGGATCGTGGATTAGACAGTGCTGAGAATGGGCCCGGCTCTGGCTCCGAAACAAGGACAGAAGGGAACGCTGAAAGCCGGTTGGCAGGGGCCAGGCATATCTGCTCGACTGGCATTACATCAGCAGAATAAAAGGGCCAGACTAGGCCACCTTTTTGGTTTATGGGAGGCCATACAGAAGACGTAAATATGCTCGACTAGATTACATGTAAGTTATCTGAAACTAACGATTCTAGACAATAATCTCTGAGTGGAATTAGCCTTTTCGGCGTAAGGTTGCCAAGTAGCCTATCGATAGTAAATGACAATTGTGTAATATTGCTAGGCTTGATAAATTATTTAGAAGCCAGCTCAGAAGTTGTATGCACCAAATGAAGATTTTTTTCTTCAAAATTAATCACAATCATACTGCATGTAATATTCTCAATTGTATGTGAGCAAACCACATCAAAGAAATCCTCTCTTTTTCCTCACCTAATCTTCACCACGAAACCAGCAAAAAAGCGGAAATAAGCCAACTAACGATGATGAAGCCACTCCGACCGAAGCTAGCAGACACTCAATCCGACCACGTTTGACTAGCTGAATGCCACGAGGTAGCAAACAAATCACCGTAAAGAGTTAATAGACCTTTGAAGAGGGAGCAAAATAAGACTGAATCAGTTAATCTTAGCTCGTCCGTGCTCCTTAAGTGTAGATGTGAATGTTTAGATGCTGTCACCTACAACTCATCAAGAGCCAAGGTAAGTTGTTGCAGACAAGGAATTTATCCAATTGCTAAAATATAAATATTTAAAAATAATACATGTGAGTATTGTATGCGTACTAAAACAAAAAAAGAAGATTACAGGAAAGAGTTAAGTAAAATGCTTATTTAAACAAAAGCATAACTTATAATTTCTACATTTAAGAACTTAAGTGAAATTGTATGTCCAATAATTTGATTTATAATATTACTAAGAGTATTTGTGTTACGATTGTTTATTTTTTTCGATTATTAGTAGTATTATATCTCTACACTAGCAAAATAATATTTGCTTCATTATTGTAAATACAAATATCGACTAGACAGCCTTCCTATAGAAATTGAAGATTCGTGGGCTAAGCTGCAGTATGAATGTGGT